AATGACATTTCTGACTCATGCTAAATAATTTTCACATTTTTGTTTGCCTATGAGCTTTTCTTGACTTGACTTTTGAGGAATATTTTGGGGAGAAAAATAATTTATGGCTATCAGTTATTTTCTAGCATCAGTTGGGTGTCATCCTTTTATTGTTTTCCAGCTTTAATTTTTCCTTATGAGAATCTCATTTATTATTTTCCTTTTAAAGTTATTTTTTAAAATTTTTAACTAAAACTTCTATTTTTAGGTAATTGAAGATTCATAGGTAGTTGTAAGAAATAATACTGGAGACCGCGTGTACTTTTATCTAATTTCTCTCACGGGTAGTATCTTGCAAAACAATGTCACAACCAGGATATAGACAATAATAAGAACAATATACAGAACATTTCCATCACCATAAGGATCTCTCCTGCTGCCATTTTACAGCCACACCCACTCTTCTTCATCTTTACCCTCTCACCTAACCTCCAGCAACTAATAACCTGTTCTCTATTTCTATAATTTTGTTATGGAAAATATGCTATTTCAATGAAATTATGCTTTATGGAAACTTGGGACATTGGCTCTTTTATTCACTCAGAACAATTGTCTAGAGATTCATCCAGGTTATTTCACATATTAATTGCTTATTCCTTTTCATTGCTTAACTATATTATTATTATTATTATTATTATTATTATTGTATTTTGAGTTCTGGGGTACATGTGCAGAACATGCAGATTTGTTTCATCATTATACACGTGCCATGGTGGTTTGCTGCATCCATCATCCCATCATCTACATTAGGTACTTCTCCTAATGTTATCCCTCCTATCCCCTATCCCCTGTTATTCCTCCCCAGCTCCCCTCCCCACTGACACGCCCAATGTGTGATGTTCCCCTCCCTGTGTCCTCATTGTTCAACACCCACTTTTGAGAACATGTGGTGTTTGGTTTTCTGTTGTTGTGTCAGTTTGCTGAGAATGATGGTTTCCAGCTTTATCCAGGTACCTGCAGAGGACATGAACTCATCCTTTTTATGGCTGCATAGTATTCACAAAGTACCACATTTTCTTTATTCAGTCTATCATTGATGGGCATTTGGGTTGGTTCCAAGTCTTTGCTATTGTGAACTGTGCCATAATACATGTATGTGTGCATGTGTCCTTATAACAGAATGATTTATAATCCTTTGAATATATACCCAGTAATGGAATTGCTGGGTCAAATGGTATTTCTATTTCTAGATCCTTGAAGAATTGCCACACTGTCTTCCAGAATGGTTGAAATAATTTACACTCCCACAAAAAATGTAAAACTATATTTCATGCTATGAATTTACCATGGTTTACTTAAACATTCACCTAATGAAGGATGTCTGTGCTGGTTACAGTCTGGGTTTATTATAAATAATTCTGTACTTTTTGTTGTATAAACATAAAATGTCATATCTCTGGGGGAAATGCCAAAGAATGCAGTTCTGAATTTTATGGTAGTTGCGTATTTAATTTTTTTATGAAACTGTCAACATACATTCCCCAGAAGCAGTGCCATTTTATACTCTCACCAAAGATGTAGAAATGACATAATTTCTCCACAATTTACCACAAAGTTTAGTCCTTATGAGAGGCCTGCAGTGATATCACATTGTAGTTTTAATTTCTATAAACCCAATGTAAATAGAAGTAAAGTAAAAAAAGATGTGGAATATCTTTTCATATACTGATTGGCTCTTTCTAAGTCTTTGTCAGCAAATGTCTGTTCTTGTATTTTGCCATTTCCAAATTCGATTCTGTCTTCCGTGTTTATTGTTGAGTTCTGAAAACTTTTAATAAAAGCAAACTATAGGACTTTAAGTAGAAACTCTGTAGTTTGTCTTTTTATCATCTTAACAGAACAAAACTTACATTTTGATGAAACTCAATTGATCACTGTTTCCTTTTACAGATTATGCTTTTTGCTGTCAAGTCAAAGAATGCTTTACCTCAGCTTAGGTCCTATGATTTTGATTGTGGTATCCTATGTTTTTGCACCTTTTGCTTTTAATTTGCTAAAGTTTTACTTTAATGCACTGAGTGGTTTTGTTTCTCTTACGTTTCTTGAATGTTTGGCTTGATATTTTCATCAGTTTGTAATAACTTTCAGCTACAATCATCTTAAGTATTATTTCAGTCCCATTCTCTTTCTCATAGCCTCTGAGAATCGAATAACTTGCATGCCCCATATGTCTCTCATGCTCCTATCTATATTTTCTTTTTCTTTTCATGCTTCAACATGGATTTTTTATTCTGACCTACTTTCCGGTTCCCTTTATTTTTCTTCCACTGTGTCTAAGCTGCTGTTATTACCAATAATTCAGATATTGCATTTTCTTAAATATAAATTTTCCATTAGCATGTTTAACATTTTTTCTCATCAGTTATGCTTACATAATGTATTTCAAGAAAATGATGTTAGGATGTATGCATCCATTTTTGATAGGATTGAAACAAAATTTGTCAAATATTTTATAATATATTTATACTGTAAAATTATTTACTAGTTTTGAAATCATTGTATAGGAAAATATTTAAGCATATAAAACAACAATCTTAATATATTAAGTGAATAAAACATATAAACTGTACAATGCTTTCAAATGTAACCTGGTCCTCATTCATATTTCTAATTTTCTCATAGGAAATGTTAAATTAAATAAGTAGTAGGTCATATTATCCTGAGGCTATCCCTGTATTTTTAGTTTCTGTGTAACAAAATTCGACCTAACTTAGTTTGTTTGATGGTTAATAATGAGTATCAACTTGATTGAATTTAATGCTATGGAGTATTGTTCCTAGGAATGTCTGTGAGGGTGTTGCCAAAGGAGATTAACATTTGAGTCAATGGACTGGGAGAAGCAGGCCCATCCCCAGTTTGGGTGGCAACAATGTAATCAGCTGCCACAGAGGCTGGAATAAAGCAGAAAGAAGAGGTAAGAGCAGACTTGCTGAGTCTTGTGGCCTTCATCTTTCTCCCATGCCGGATGCTTCTTGCCCTTGAACATCAGACTCAATGCTCTTCAGCTTTTGAGTTCTTGGACTTACACCATAAGTTTTCCAGGGTATCTCAGTCCTTTGGCCACAGATTGAAAGCTGCACTGTTGGACTCCCTTTTTTTTTGAGGTATAGGTACTGGGATTGGCTTCCTTGCTCCTCCACTTGTATACAGCCTACTGTGGGACTTCACGTTGTGATGGTGTGAGTCAATACTCTTTAATAAAATCCCCTTCAAATATACATCTATTCTATTAGTTCTGTCCCTCTAGAAAACTCTAATGAAACATTTTGTTAACTAAAATAAGTCTAACTTAGGAATGTAATTTTAGTAACAAATAGCTGGGTTTCAGCCAATGACAAGACAGCCAACTGGTCATTTGATGTCCAAACAAAGCAAACATCTAGCTGCAGCCAATCAAGTAATTTCTCTACTTGGCTTCTGTGTTCAGTCTATGAAAGCCTGTAGCTCACACTGCTGGATGCAACTCTAAACTACTTCTAATTCTGAGGACAGCCCGACTTGTGACTCATTCTTTGCTTAAATAAACTCTTAAATTTATTATGTCTAGAGTATTTTATTTTAACAACAGTGAACATGACAAAAGCTTTATGTTAAAAAGCCAGCCATTCGGTTAAATATACATATATTTTTTTCCTCTGACAGTATTAAAAATAAATAGGTAATGATTACTTTAGCAAGCCTCTATCAATTGTCCCTCATATACAAACACAAAAAGATATGTTTCTCAGGAGTATAATGTCAGCAGCAGTTTCAAAACGACTTGGCATTATTTTGAAAGGTATACTCATTCTGGTTAGCTAAAGACAGTAACAGAGTATTTTTTGACTCAGAAAGGGTATATTTTGACCTATACCCTTTTCACTTCTGGACTCATTCATAGCAGATAGATTTTAAGGTGCTGCTTCCGAAATGCACACTTTCCCATAATCCCTTTCGCTTCAGTGTGAGTATGACCTGTGTCTTGCCATATGACCAGAATATGGCAAATGTGTTGATGCATCACTCACTTGATTACATTTTATGAGACTGTTTTGCCTGCAGGCTTGCTGCTCTTATTTGCTTTATGAAATAAGTGGACACATTGAGGAGGCCTAAATGGCAAGCAACTACTGGTGGCATCTCAGAGACATGGGCAGCCTTGAGGAGTGAAGGAAAGTCTTGACTCTCTCGGGTCTATATCTGAAAGAAACTGAATGCTGCCAACATCCCTGTGAGCTTAGAAGAGATCCCCAAGAGAGAAGACAGCCCTAGCAGACACTAGACTGTAGTCTTACAAGACCCCTGCAAAGATCCAACTAAGCCATGAACAAATTGTTGACCTATAGAAACTGTGAGATAATAAATACATTATGTTTGAAGTTGCATATTTTGCGTAATATCTTATACAGCAGAAAAACAAATGCACATCCTTGTTGAGTCTCCTACTTGCTCTATTTGCTATGGGCAACCAGTCTTCCAAATTGTCAAGCTTCTTTAACTAGAAGCAGTCTCTTGCCCCGTGTTCCAGTTCCTTCTTCATTCTCACCACCCAATTAATACATATATACTCTTCATGTTTTTTAAATGAACCATACTTTAGTATCACCATCTCTCAATCATCATTCCTGTGTCACTCCTGTAGATCCTCCAAAGTAGACCAAGCTAGTCCCTCTGCCACAATCAAGTCCCTCAGCTTCCTCACTTCAAGTAAGGCTGGACATAAAGCATTCAATATAATTGTATTGATCTAATTTGTACATCATTCATGAATGAATTCATTTTTTGAGTTACATTTTAAAGCCAAAGACAATTCAATTGATATGATTCTCAAAAATTACTTGGTACTTAAAGCTTTATTAAATTATTTTCACTGAGTACAAAATTAGACTGTGGGCTTTGGAGGATTATACCAAAGAATAATAAAAATAAAGCTGCTTGCATTTCTTCCATTCAAATGAGGAGGAAGGAAACAATTAACTTACCTGACCAGGCTTAGAATTTTCACAGACAACAATATCATATTCCCTGGCAAGTTCAGGTGGATTGTCATTGACATCCAGAACTCTAATACCAACTGTGACATGGCTCAGCAAATCAGGATTATCTGCAAAATACACAGGAATGTATTTAGTATTTCCATGCACAATTTAGAGGCTAGGTTTAAAACAAATCCCTTTAATACTGTAGCTTGTCACTAGTTTCATATGCTGTACCAGGACGTTTGGCAAAAGACAACTTTATGAAGGCGCTCTTTGCTAGAACTCATTAACTTACAGAAAAAAGAAAAATGCACACCAAGGCATGACATGACTGCCAAAATGATATTTTGTAACATCAAGGAAATTACATGTTATCAGGAGCTTGAGTGGGAGAAAGTTGTCAGAATTCACTGCATGCTGTCAGGGTCTACAGGATGAACAATTGGTTTCATCACTAATCTAAGAAAAACACAGCAGTTGGTAAAAAATAACTACATAATCTTTAAAAAAGTTTAACATTCAAATCTAAACACACTCAGAGAAAACAAAAATAAATTTCTTTACACAAAGGATCATTTTCTTGTGACAGAATATATGCAGTATGAGGTGTTAAGCCACACTTGGGGAAAAATAAATAATAACTAAAATCAAAATTTAGCATGAGATTCACACATGCAATTTACATGTAACTCTGGTAGATAGCAAAATATAGTCAATAGTTTCAAATACATCTTAAACTATGTCTTTTCATTTTTTCAGTGGTTTTATTAATTCTGAGATGTAACAAGAATGTAAATGTCTGGTTTATTTTAGAAGTCAAATCTAGAGATTCAGAATACATAATGAGTAAATTAAATCATTCTTTCTGGATTTCTCTCTGCTGATATATCTGTCATTCTCTGAAACAATTCAAAATTTAAATTATAACAACATAGTAATACATTAATAATAAGACTAGTAAAAAAGACACAACCATATTAGGAAAAAGCGAATAAATATAGAGAAGTTATTCACAATAGTAAGAAAATAGATGGATTAAACAGCATAAGAAGAAGCTGTAAAAGAAATAGAAAATTTAAGTAGCACTTTACTAAAATAACTAGAAAAAATAAATTCTTCAGTCAAAAATTAACTTTTGGAAAGAGAAAAAAGTCATCCCAGATGTTTTTACTTAAAGAAAGAGGTAATTACAGTCTACACATTTTCCCCCTAGAAAATATAAGAGGAAATATTTCACAACTTCTATGTATTTATTTCTTTGGCTTGTAAAACTTTGAAACCAATACTAGGCACCGTCAGTCAGGAGACATATTAGGTGTCAACTGTCTAAAGAAAATAATAGTAAACACATTCCACTGAATTGTTAAAATCATTATCAGTTTTGTTCCAGGAATGTTTGTTTTGTTCAAACAATAAAAGAAGGAAACAAACAAAAAACAAACAAGAGAGGCAGAGATGAAGAATGGAAGTAAATTTTCATAAAGATGAAAGTTATTCACAAATTAGTGAATTAAAGAAAGAAAAAAAGCATATATATATATATATATATATATATATATATACTCACTCAAGAACATACTAAGAAATGCAAAAAATAAAATACAATATGTGTATATTCTAAAAAGCAGCCAATAAAACATAACAAATGACAATAAAAATTATCTAATACATTATTCTTAATGGTGAAAATCTAAGAAGAATTAATTAACATAAGCTAAAGGGACCTATGAGTAAATTTAACAAAGTATATAAAAGATCTGTGTGCAGAATACTTTACTGAATTTCATTTAAAACGATGTAAAGAAATTAAGAGCCCCTATGCCTGTGGTTAGAGACAAAATATCACAAATAAGACCAGACCATCCAGATTGATGGTATTTTCAATGTAATCTAATACAAATCCAATGAGACTTGTTTATAGCAATTGAAAACTGCTTCTATTATTTACAATCGCTAAGGTAATTCAGACTTGTATGAAGAAGAGGAATAAAGCAGAGTTATGGGTCAGGCGCAGTGGCTCTTGACTGTAATCCCAGCACTTTGGAAGGCTGAGGCAGGAGGATCATCTGAGATTAGGTATTCCATACCAGCCTGGCCAACGTGGCAAAACCATGTCTCTACTAAAAATACAAAAAGTAGCCAGGTGTGGTTGTGCACACCTGTAATCCCAGCTCCTGGGGAGGCACAGGCAGGAGAATCGCTTGAACCGGAGGCAGAGGTTGCAGTGAGCCAAGATCCTGCGGCTGCACTGCAGCCTGGGGAACAGAGCAAGACTCCTCCCGCCCCCACCCCAAAAAAACAACAACAACAGAAAAGTAGAATTGCTCTACAATTGATCAAAGCTTACTACACTTGACACTCTATGACTGTGTCACAGGGATAGACAAACGGAATGGAAACACAAAACAGAACCCAGCGAAGGATCCACTATACAAAGAAATTTAACATATGGTGATGATGGCATTGTAGATCAATGTTGAAAGTATGGATTAATCAATAAATAGTACAACTTGTTATTCGTATAATAATAATAGTAGTAGTAAGCATAAGAATAATGACAATGACCTTATGCTACACTTACACAAAAATTATTTAAAATAATTAAATACATAAATATATAAGGCAAAATTACACATTTTGGGAAAAAAGGCTAGCATTAATATGTGCACTTAAGTTACATGGACAATTTCAAAACACAAAATTCACTAAAACGTGAAAGAAGCATTGATAAATTTGATTGAACTAAAGTGTGATTTCTTAGTTTCTCCAAACATATCATGAAGAGGAAAAAAATTACAATATGAACGAATATATTTGTGGCACTTGTATCTATAAAACAAAATACAATATATTGAAACAATTCTAAAAGTCAACAAATATAAAAATGGGCAAATGTTAATGACAAACATTTAATAGAAGAGATAATATAAATAGCAAATAAACATGAAAATATTCAGTCTCATTAGTATGGAAAAACGTGTGTTAATCAAAATAAGTTAACATTTAACACAAGCCAGACTGATACAATATTACGAAGTTTGACAAGATTTCTCCTGGTACGGGATTGAATACAGTCAAAGAAAAATCTATCAATTAAAGTAACCCATAAGGAATAACTTGCATATTCTCATATCCTTGATCCAGTAATTTTCCTGATTTACATTTATAGGAAAACTCTAGAATACATATAACAACAAAAATAGAAAAATAAAAGTATCCAACAACTCCTGAACAGATACAAAGCTTTGACACATTTATATCATACAGAAAATAAATAAATAACAATATAGCCTCTATGTAAAACAATCTTAGAAACTTATGGTTGTTCTAAGAAATGTTTCAGAGGACTTCAGTCAAGTATTGTGACATTTTGTAAAAATAGAAAACAAATGGCATGTAAAACTAAATAACATATTGTAAAATTAATAAGATAATGTTGAAGATAATTCTTTTGTAACACTAATTCTTCAGTATAGAGATGTGTTAAAATCTATTTATTATTGCATTTTACAACATCTTTGTAGATATTAAATATTACATTAAACATACATTAAAAAGTTAAAAGACATCTTGAAAGTAATACATTCCTTCATATACAATCATAATATTAGCATAGTTAATATTTGATTACCTATTTATAGCAAAAGATAATGTGATGTTTTTATATTAATTATATATTACATTGATAAATGAAAATAAACATTAAATGAAATTACTTGCTTTAAATATATGTTTACTTATGAAAATGTTTAAACTTCTTTTAGAAACTAATACTATTACTTTATCTTTTTACTACATTATTTCAAAACTAGATAATTAGTCAAAATGCTTAGTTTATAAATTATAAGAAATTGAATTTGACATAGTTTAAATGACTTACCTTGGCAAAGTAAGGGTTATATTCTACTTCTTTTGCCTATTACCACTACATACACACACACACACACACACACACACGCACACACACACACACACACACATTTTTTTCCTCGTCTAAATATCATAAATGATTTTATTATGTGTTGCTATATCTCCCAATTTTAAGCAGACAAAAGAAATCTGTTTAAAAAATCTGGGGTAAGAATAATTTTGTAAGCTCTAGTCATAGGTATCATCAACTTTACTTTTTCCTGAGTAAATAACTCTGTTCTTTTCAGAAAAGGCAGCATTTTTAAAGGCAATTCCAGTGAAGTAAGAAACTGTGTTTTATATGAAAGGATTCTGGAAAAACCACAACCTGAGGAGGAATTTCAATAAAAGAACAAGTAAGCAGTTGACTGTTATCTGCTTTCACCTCTCACTCTCCTACCTCTGCCTTGTTGCAGCTTTCCCCTGGAACTGGAAGGTCTTTTCATGCCTTCCACACTTGGGCATAGGAAAATAAATTCTTCTACTTCAAAGTAGATTCTTTTCATTATGACCTGATACTATTTTACATTCTTAATATACAATCACTATTCGGCAACAATGATTAAAAAGCATAGCATTTGGGATCAGGCAAATATCAGTTTTCTCTGTAGAACTACTACCATTTTGTGTCCTGTAGGAGACAGAATTTAATCTTATCTTATTGATCATCTGACTCATGATACTGCCTGCCCTATCGGGGCAACCATAGGAGTTACGAAAAACAAAATGTTAGAGTAAGTTTACTGTAGTTTCTGGTGCGAATTCAATACTGCTGTCTGTTACTAAAAGTAGGATGATGTATAAAATTGTGGCTGCGATATCAGACAATCAGGGCTGAAAACTCACTATAGTTTATAGCCACTTGTAGCCTTCTTGTGAACATTGTGATATTTTATGTTATTAGATATTTCTGTATTTGTGAATAGAAAAGTACCCATGGGTGTCTATATATTATTTCTCATGTCCTTGGGTTATTATTTCACCCTTTGAATGTCAATCACTCTACCTATACAATGTATGCATGGGATTTACAAACATTTTGCTAAAGCTAAAATTGGATCATTCCTTAAGGTCTTAAAACACTATTTCTATTATTGTTACTATTATTTTTAATTTGTTCTTCATGCCTAGAAAACAATTTTCATACTCTTTTAACAGAAGGGTAAATAAAATATATTGAAATGATACAAACTTAAATATAAATCCTATTCTCAGT